CACTAAATTGCTGAGCTCTACGATAACGGCATTACTAGACACGACTCGCTTCATAGAGATATTGTGGCATTATAAAAATAGCTTTGGTGAAAAAAAAACTTTAGACATCGTTAATTTAATTAAACAAAGTTGTTTTCACAGGTGGACAATGTAAAATTTTTGCAGAGACACTTGAAGTTCGGGGGAAATTTCCTTTTTTTACTATCCACTTAGTTCTTTTCCTTTTATCTTGTTACGGGTGAGTTTTAGGGCCCCGTTTCAATGGGGTTTGACGAAGGGCTTTAACTAACACTTTGCTACAAACTCCGGCACTAAAAAAACAATGCGCTTACGCCACTCCAGGTCGCAATCGCGGGCCAAAGTGTCTCGTAAAACAACACTCGCGAATAAAAAGGACGGAATCTTATTAAAGTAAATATTTATGGCATTGCTATCAACCGATTGGACGAGGGTTCCGCCGCCTTGATAAATTGTCCTGCCCGCTTGCGGCCTAACGGCCACTCTCCCAAATATTTCTCGTGTAACATATCGCTCTAAAAAAATTTCGATGTGTTTGATTTATGGCATAATTTCCTTTCACGCCTTTTGATAAGTTTCCTCAGAGTTTCGGGAATGCGCAACGTTTTTGCCGAGTAAATCTTGTTCATATCAAACGCTTTGGCAACGTTGCGCGCCATAAAACAACTTGTGAACTTCGGGATTTTAAAAGTTGAGCATCTCCAGGTAAAAAGTAGTGTGGGGGCTAGTATTTCTATTTCACCTGGATGTAGACAATAGGGTTGTCCCCACACAATCACCCCGACGAGAAACTTGATTGTTCTCGTCCCATTCAACTTCACAATGGAGAAAATGAAGAGGAGCCAATTCTTTCTACAACAGCTTTTATCCGCCGTTCTGTTCGTTTGCCGAAAGTTAGCATTTTGAATCCACCTCGTGAATGCATTAGAATGTGCGCACATATTTGTCTTGGCATCAAGTGGATGTGTTCTTCGGAACAGCTATTTCGATATACTGTTTGCGTTCAACTCCCAAGACGTTTATGCCGATGTAACAATGTTACGTTCAGTCTCTATTGTAAATACAGTCATTGCTATTGTTTTAGATTGAATATAATCAAATCCTTGTTTCAAGAATGTTGTATAACAAAGCTGGTATCTAACTCTGGTAATTTAACTATTTGAGCGTGGATACTCATAGCAAATAAATTAGGATCTTAATAGAAGGCCATTTTAGAGTTATTTGCAACCTTTGATGCGAGTTTGAGCTCACTGGGTACAAATATACGTTTAGCTATGTTTATTTAAAGTTGTTGCAATAATTGTTATATTACCTACTTCATTATGAATTACTTTCCTGACCTAAGCAATTAATAAATATATTGTAGTGTAAGATGAATCGCTTATTTCCTAAGACGCTTTCTCACCGGGCAACAAGTTCCACAAACGTAAAACTAAGATATTTTCCCAAAAAAGGTGATTAATGTTCGCAGACCCCACACAAGTTTCAAAAAACATTCGCAACTACATAGACGCTCGCCATCGAACTTTACGAGCGAACCTCCTGAAGACTTATTGCGTCTACTTAGTATCTTCCAACGCACAAGTATTAGAATAAAGTGTAGGTATAAAATTCTAATTTTGATCCAAAAGTCTCTGTTTGATTGCAATTAAAATTTGATATTATCTTAGCGAATTCTGTTGTCGATCAAAATTTTTAATAATGCAACTTTTAATTTTAACTAAAAGTATTATTCATTTAAATAATTTATAGGAGAAAACTATGGAAAGTTTTAATTAATATGGCTTCAGTAACAACTCAAACATAACTTGTAAAAAGTACAGACGCAAAATGTAATATTTCTCAATGAACATAATTTCAACTCGCGTCTAATGATGAGCGATTAAATTAACATACTCGTACCTTTGCTTCTATTCTAATTTTATTTATATTAAATTAACATCTGACTGCTGAAAACTTTTTTCAGCACATCTAACTCTACATTTTGGCCGCAACTAACTACATAAAATAAAATACTACATTGTTAAGCTTGGAGTGCCGCCGGCCGTTCAATTAGAAATGCTTAATAAGTTAATTATGCCATCAAGTAAGCCGCAAGTATAACGTTTTGTTCCAGCTAATAGGTTTCTAATAAGCTTTGATTGTCCAACGACCGCCAGCAATGGCGTAGGCATTTCCCTTTTCTTATAACAGTCTTTTCCTCTCTAATAACTAGCGCGATTAACTTGTTATTATTAGCTGGACTCAGAAGCAATCCGGCAATTATTTACGTAGCAAACATTCTGTCACGATGAGAGCCCGTTGATAAAACTTTCGGCCAACTATTACGTCACAAGAGACAATTTCCGAGCATCTCTTAATTATTGTGCCGCGTATTTCGTATTACAATAATGAAGCGAAACAATAACAAAAGTTTGGACTTCGGGCACGGCCAGCGAGCAACTTCAGCTGCTCATTTGAGTGCCTGTTCATCTCTCTCCTAATGAAAACTTGCTAGTTACCGCAGTAATAGAACATTACTTTTATTCGGGGGGGACAGGGACGGAGCAAGCGTCTCCGCGACGTTCAATTAGACAAATGAATACGGAGGTGTGTAAGAAAGGAAAAATGTGGACCCTGCACTTCCAAGTGGCGGCCTTAGGTTGTAACGTCCGTTATCGACGGCTACAATAAGTCGCGTTTTATACGGTTATTATAGCGCCATAAACGCCACCGGCCGGTGTTTCATACAGTGCCGGGGCAGATTATACTGCCTATGGCCCCGATTCGGGGGTTAGGGTTGCGGGGGTGGGGCGGGGGCTCGCCCGCTGTCAGCCCCACGTGCCACCCGACAGATGTGTCGAGATATCCGATATCGGGAGACACATTCATAATCTTCGTCTCAAACCTCTCGGTCCTTATATTAAAATAACGAACGCCGCCATCGCAGGTGCGAACTCGCTGCGAATTAATAAAAACGGAACGCGCTTTCAGACGCTCACTCCGCAGAAACGCTGCCTTTTATTGCACAAGGTACGAGTAGATGAAGGAACTAATTCAAATAGATAAAGCACAGACTCATTTGTTTAAAAAAAGTTGAAACAAAAGAGTTTGTAATAAGAATTTAATTGGTCAAGGAACTGATTGCCAGCACTCATCAGCAAATCACCTGTAAGTTTGCAGATTTAATTAAAGTATTCCATCTGAAAAATAAAGGTACCACCCAGTCTAATTGAAGCCGGGGAAAAATAAAGTTAAATCCTCGAGCGACTGGAGAACTTTCATTAGCGCTTCACAGCTACAATTGCGAGTTCAAATAATTATGTTTACGGAATCCTTTTCTTACGCAGAGATTATTTATCTTCCCCATTGTTAGGAGAAGTGACGCGGACGAATTTCGCGAAAATACCCCATTTATCTGGAGCGGCACACAAAGGCTAGCGAAACCCAAAACTTTTTACGTGGTCAGTGACAATGCCATTTCTCTCTTTTCTCTTAACGTTTCATTTCTAAGTTTCACGGTTAGTACATCGCGTGCTTTACACGCGGACAAGCTGTGGCACGCTGGATGGCTTAAAGAACTTTATTAACCAAGCCAATTTTATCCCTTATCTTTATTTTCTCAGGAGTAACAAGTCGTCATAAGCTAAGCAACAAAGCTTTTCTTTAGTGATTAAAATCGTACAATAATGAAGAGACCAACTCTTTGAAAAGATTTCAAATCTTTAACCTAGGTTTCGAATTCCACTAAAAATTTCATCATACTAAAGAGGAAATTTGATAATACGTAAAACAGAGACATGATAGCACCCTACTATGAAAACAGTTATCTTTACTTTTCCTGTGTCGTTTTTCTCTTGTTTCTTATAGTTCCTCCGAGTAGTTATCTTGTAAATATGTCTAATGTTGCACGAGCTTCCGCGGCGCCGCCGCATCCTATTGCGGCGATATTCCTCAGCGAATACACGGCATTATTCAGTTTACAAACCCGCATAAATAAGGCCGGAATACTCTCCGTTCGCCACGCAACTACATAATATTTGTCCACGGTCCCCGGACCTCTATCCCACTTATAATCTAAACATCAGAATAATGCTTTATCTACTTTCATGCGACTCCAACAACATGTTTTATGTAACTGGGGATTGTTTCCAATCGTTTTTATTGGGAAAGCAATAACGCAGAAACGATTTTCATGATAAAACGCACCAACCTTATAATGCATAAAGAAAATACGATCATCTACGAAACTCAACTGAACCCTTATTTGCCTTTTCGGGGCGTTACTATCTTCGCCTCGATTCCTACGCAAAGCTACCCGGCCGCGCGTGAAATACCAAGTACGCTCTAGTTTCGGGACGGACCACGCTGTTTGTTTAGGCCAGACGAAGCCGCGAAAGGTGATGGACTAAATATTAACAAAGAGCCATCGGATTATAAATATCAGGGCGCGTGAAAGGTAACATTTGCAGGTATTGATTGGGGCCCCCTAAAGTTTGTTTTTTGGATGAGTCACACAGGAACTTTTTTGGTGTTGATTGAGTGGCACGTGTCGATATCACTGCGGAAAAGGGATGAGAAGGTGGGAACTTTGGAACGTGATACAAGGTGCCGTGATACATGCCAGAGTCAGCGTAATCACGGTCGCGGGTACTGTTTGCGCGGCGGCGCTAATGCTGTTTGCCGTGAGGCGGGTGGACACGGCACGTCACGGTGTGTGTCTTAATCGTTAGAACACGGCTGCTCATCGCCTTGTTGTGTTTGCCACTTTAAGGGAACTTCGGCGTCAGGTGATTACGTGATTCGAACAGCCCCGAAGTTCAGGGTTCTGTTTGGCGACAGATTGTGTGCATCGCATAAAGATTTATGCTAATGTAACACCAATGACACGCTTTCCATAGTTTAAATGTTCTTGACGGTTCTGTTGAAACTTTCTTAAGTCAAACACGTATCTTAGCTGGAATTTAAACTGTTTTACTGAAAAGCGCCTGAAGAAGGCAAATATGAGTAAAGAAAATGGTAAATGACAGAGAATGTTAACTAATCCCTTGTCAGGTAAAACAACTGAAAGCGCAATTTGTAAAACTGCTCTCGCGAAATGAACATTTTAAATCACAAATAATTAAACTATTCAATATAAAACTTATTTTCATTCGAAAGTTCCTATCGTTCCAGACAAAAAAACTACGAACCAATAGCTTTTTGAATTCGAGTTTCAAAGGTTAGTCGCATTGTTAGGCTTGTGGTCGACGGGGTGTAAATTTTATTAAATTGTGTAGTACAAAGACGAACGCCGGCACCGCCACAATGCCTGATAGGTGTTGTCGAAACTGATTGACGCCTTTTGAAATTAACCCCGGGCGAATTGCCCTTAATTAAAACGATATCAAAGATGAAACTTTCACGATAACTTGAAACGAGGTAAATTCGAAAACTTTCCGGACTGAATGTCTGAGGTTTTAAAATTGTATTTGGATTGCAATTTGTAAGATTCTTTGATACACTTAATACAGACTGTATTTTATTTTTGTTATTTCATTTTCCTTGTCAGAAACTTATGTGTTTTTGTTTGTTCCAGGTTTCGGATTCGTCACATTTCAAAGCGAAGACATAGTAGATAAAGTGTGCGAAATACATTTTCACGAAATCAACAACAAAATGGTAAGTCGTAGTTTTTCATTATTCCTCCAACAATTCCACGAGCATTTTTATGTGATTTAGTTTCGGAGATAAATCTGATTTAGGGACAAAGTCAACCAGGAAAATCTACTGATATTAAGATTCTGCTCCAAATAAATAAAATGTTTGCTTAGGTAGAATACTCACGTAGCCCACGAGCACGCAGTCCATCTTAAACAGAAATCAAAGAGAAAAATAAATAATTCAATTCGCCAAATAGAATATCGGAATAGTCCCCCAAAGTCCTAAAAACACAACAGTTGTTTATACAAAGATCTTTTGCAACTCAATCTCTGACAACGCCGACATTGTCGGTCAGATATCAATTAAACCGAAGGAGTTGGCGGTCGTCCAAGCCGGCCAATAAAAAGCCGCTAAAACGGCTTTACTGTGTTTAGATTTTTCCCCGCCAGGGGTCGGACATGTGTATGTGACAGGGAACCAAGACTTTATAATGTCACTATATAAAAGTCGTCTTTTATTTGAAGCCTTTTTGTTCTTCTTGCCAGTTTGTATCTTTTGACATTATCGTTTTCATTCGATGCAGTTATTTTGTTTCAGTCCTTCGTTTATTTTCACTATTGCCTATTAACAAAGTAAATAAGAGTAGTTAAGGACTAATAGTCTAGCAAAAGTACAATAACAGTTGATACAGAGTAGTTCTTACAGCCATAACGTTGAATCCCGTCCATTCGCGATACATTACACCCGCCCTTTACAAGACTATTACAATCATGTACCGCCATAAACCTGCGCCGATTAACTTGCCCGCACGCATGTCATTGTCTGCAAGTTTATTTTAGTGAAAATTTCACTACATAATCAAATTAATTGTGCCCATCCACGCACCGTTTCATAGCACCAATAAAAATAATTAGGGTATAATTACAGCGGCAATGGACACTGAATAATAGTGTTTTGTTTTTGTTGCCGCCGTCATTAGGGCTTTGCTTGTAGCATTTAATATTTTGGACGAATGTAATCGTGTTAAATAGAGAGCGGATTTTACTTTTGAGAATAGTTTTCAAAATAAAACAATGGAATATGATTCTGTGATTTATAACACATAAGCCAGTAATTTGAGCTATGACGTCAGTTGTTACCACCCACACAATACGAGTAAAAGAACAAGAAATATAAAGTAAAATATTTCCAGTGTTATTTTGGTGGTAACGATAAAATATGTCGTACTTTTACTATACCTAACTGTGAAAATAATATCGCACTACATCAAGTTATTTATCTGCTAGATGCAAGGGACGTTTGAGTTAAGTGCCCATCTCTGAAATGTTTGAATTAAAATAGAAAACTTGTGGGGCAGAAACGCGCTGCTCAGCCAACCGTGCGAGCATTATTGCAAGCCGCAGACCCCCGGGACTCGCCCTCTACATAGCTGAAAAAGATAAAGTAGCCTCACTGATAACTGCATTTTTTGACGGGGAAAGTGCATTGAATCGCATACCTATGCCTACCCTACGGGGACAGATCACACCCATTAAAATGACCTCCGTGCTCCGTCAATTATAAACCTAGAGACCAAGAATTGTCATGATATTATTCAGAAGAATTTATTGAGATGTACGTAGAAGATAAAGAGCTTACGTAAAATATTTAGGTCGTATGAATAAAACTTTTCCTGATATTCATTCATACATAAAAATTAAACGTAAAGCCATCGTTATTAAAATGCTGTTTACATACTTCATTACACATACATAAGTTCGTAGATATAGTGTGTATGCATTAGAAAAAGTGATCCTGCTTTATTCACTTAAACTATGCCCTCACCTCGCACTCCCTTCATAATTAGCACTAGTGATTTCTGCTATTCCAACGACGCTATTCATTTCATCATAACTGGGGGTAGGTATGATTTACGATTTGTGTAAACAAGGTCGCGTTCTGTCTGTGAAATATTGATTATATGTATTTATAGGTAGACAAGTCTGTGTGTCCCATTAAAAAGATGCCTTACAAAGCCGTTCATAATAAAAGATGTCAATATTTAGAAAATTGACTTTAGAAGAAATTGTAAGGCCCAGGAAAATTTTAGAGACAGGTGTAGTATTCCGAAGTATACAATAAACACTATTTTGATATAATTTTAAGATCTAAAAAGACTGTTCACAAACTCAAAATTACAATACGGTGCAAATTGCGAACTCCGTTTGACTTTTTAAAAACCCGAGCGGTACGCACCTATTTCAGCCATTACTTACGCTCTACAGCGCATCAGCCTACACATGTTCGATGCAAAATCGCTCTTATTACGACTGTACAAAGTGCCTGGTGTATCTTGATGTGCTGTCGTACATTGTCTTTGACAGCAACGCCATTACTGGTTGAAAGGACGCGAACAGATAGGGTGTATCCCGATGCATATTTCTGATTATTAATGCTTGTTTTTTGTGTTCCTCTATTATCTCACGCGTCCATTACGCCGCGGCATGTGTCGAGATCGCAAGGGTGATTCTCGCCCTAAGTGGAGCAAACAACGAACAAAGACATCAAACAAATGGGTAGTGTTTAGAGTAATTACCGCTTGCTTCCGTGCAAAACGAGAGATCTGCTCGGAGGAGTCTACGCGGGAACTAATCGTGTATTCGCCCTTTTTGTTGCGTGTACACGCAAATGAGTGCTATGGACGTTTTAGACAATTGCAACCTAATAATTACAGCAACTTATTGCAAGTCCATCGTCAATGTATTTCAATTGCGACTTGTCCATATACGACAATATTTTAACGATCTTCCTAGAGCAAGCAAAGCCAACAATATCAATCATAATATTGTCTCATAGTAAAAGAAACTAACGTGTGATACGGGGCATGGTTTTAAAATAGCTTTTAAGCTTAAATTCCTTTTTTAACAGAAAACATCATGATTATATTAAATATGTTTTAGCATTTGACATACTCTTATTTCAAAGAATCAATGTCACCTACTACACCTACTTCGTATTATTTTGTTGCACACCTTTTAAAACAGCGATGACAAAGTGTAGCAAGCGTTTCCACACTTTACAGTTACGACGATCGGATACACACCGTGCGTGACTCGTAAACAGATAGTCATTAAAAATTCGCCACGGCATATCATAAACACATCTGATAGTTATATTTACGTACGCAATAAAGAAGACAGAAGCGTCATGTCAGCGACGTTTACGCTACGGGTAGCTGACGTCGTAAATTTAATATATTGTCATCTCTTATATTAAAATGGTCGTTAAGCTAATAGCTGCTCCGCCTCCTCGCACGAGTGATAGGGTGACGTCGTGGTTTTCATAAAAAGAGTTTCAAAAACTGCGTGAAAAATTTTTCTACGTGCATCTTTTGCTCCACAATACCTTTTGTGGAGCGATTGTCGCGAAAAATTCAGCGCTGTCGCATTGTAAAGGACCGTGAATTTAATTACTCGTTTAAGGCGATACTTAAGCACTTAGGATGCATACTGTAACATAAATACGGCCCCATTAAAACGCTCACAACAAATTCTCGTCACTCCATTACATCCTTATACATTACCCCTTAATTGCTTCCGCTTACGACGAATATTAACAAAGAAGCCCCGCAAAATGGGTGATGTACGTCGTAGTTTAGATTTCACCTTTTAACATCAATTTCTATTTGCCGGATTTAAGCATGAGACGTGTACACCTGCGTTTCTTTATGGGGTCGCACCTGCTAAAATTGTCCTGTCGTGTGTTGAGGTGCGCCAATATAAAGTTTATGACGGCGTTATAAAGTCGATATTCGATTGGGGAGGATGGGGGAAGATGGGAAGTTTTTATGTAAATAAAGTTGGATTGACATGAATAATGCACGCTTATAATTATGTATTCCATAGTAGGGTACGCCGGCAATTTTGAAATGTGAATAAGATTAAATGTCGTTTTCATCAAATAATTGAAATTTTAATATTACTGTACCAAACGTCGTATCTAAGACTTTTTGGAACTCGAGTACTTGAACTGAGAAACATCGTATTTAGCTTTTAATCGCTTTTCATGTTTGCTCTCTTCGAAACTTGCACCGTAGATATCATTCTTGGAAATATATATTTGGAGTTGGATGAAATATGGGTACATATCAAAGTATCAGAGTTACAATTTGTTGTAGATCGGCGAACTTGCACGAATAACTAACTTTTATAGCCACATAACGGGGTTTATTTTCGAGCTTCACGTTTATACGCCGTTTAACTAATGCTTTTTCAAAACAAACTGACAGCCAGACTGTATGATTCATACGCAAGTTTTTACAAAACATTGTCATTTGTTTTGTATTTTAAAATATTAGGCCTTGGGAAAAAATATTGGTTACGTAATAGATACGATACATACACACCTACATATGTTGATAAACTAACTAGTTAGTTGCTTCATAAAGAACATACCTAATATAAAAAGGTAAAATATCATACAAAAAATCAATTGAAATAATGTTGATCTATAATAAAAATAACAGCTTTACTTAAGCAAAACTATATTGAAGCAATAAACTTCGTTCCAATGCTTAAAGTCTAAAATCGGTTAAAAGAAAATTAAATGAAATGTCTGAGTCCATTTCGATTATTATTCATAGCCACGTTTAACCTTATCTGAAGGAGAAATATAAAACTTTCTGTTGATCCTCGCATAAACACGTTTAAAGAACTTTTCTATTCGGATACCTCTCTCCCGAGTCTCCCCAATCGTGCATAAGGATACAAATGCCTTCCGTTTAGGAAATAACACTAAAAGTAGGCACATTTCAAACTGCCGCTTAAATCTTGGGATCCTCGATAGCCATTTCTCTTAGTATCTTAACAGGCTGGTGGATTTCTCCCTTGTCGTTAAAGAATGGGCCACACTCATGCAGATGTTGGGTACGATCCGTCTCCTAGATTTATTTGTGCGGATGGTATTAGGCACATTTAATTTAGGAAAGACTGAAGAAATAAAGCTTACTGAAATAACTGGCTTTCTATACCATAAAGTAT